AGATTTCTTAGCACTAGAACTCTTTAGATAACCAAGATTAATTGTGTAAATACAACTATCTACTATATTAGAGTATTCAATTTATTTTCCTTATACTGCAATTGACTGTTTTTTTATAATCTAGCATCTAGGGTGGCAATACAAATTAGAAAATAAATATTACGATAAATCCTATACTAGAAGAAAAAATTGAATTTTTTTCAAATGTTGAACAACAACGAAAAGAGGTGCTCTATCAAAACTGCAGACTGCTAGCAACAAAGTCTTAGAGATTTCAAACCTGTATTCCAATTAAGTTTACAGTTGTTATTTCTGCCACATGCAATAGTTAGCCTCTACCTGGCTAATTCACCCATAAAAACAAAGGGATGCGTTTACTTAGCAAGTTGCATTTCTTAAAAGGCTGTGTCTTATTTTCTGCGTGAGACCCTACTTTACCTGCATAGTACAGTTCAAGCTGCAAGATTCATAAGATTTCTGGAGGAATTCGAAATAGCAGACTGCCACCTGTCTTTTGCAGGTTATTTATGCAATGCTGCAGGCTAGAAATTAAAACTAGCCTACCATGAACAGCTGACAAAAGGTGTATGTCACAGAGGGCTCAGTCTGAAATATGTTTGGATATGGTTGATAAAACACTCATTCTTTTAAGTCAGTTATAGTTTACAAAGACAAATTAGAAAGATAAAATGTGTATGTTCTGTATTTTACAACTTGATGTCAAGAAGGAATGTGAAGTATAAGCCAGAGAAGGAGAAGAGGGAGAAAGAGACTGATTAAGCCAAATTAGACAATAATTTGATGAAACTGAGCACTGACAGAGATTCAAATTATGTATTTCTACATATATTTTATGGAAAAAATATAAGAACTTCCTCAGTGATTCTTATTTTTAATTATCATACCTATTTATCTCAGTAACTATGGCAACAGTTTCAGGAAAAAATTGGTCAAAATATAACAATCAAGATGATATATCATAATTTTACAGTTCATATGTTATAATAAAGCTTCTTTAAAAAAAATAAAATAATATTATATTATACTATATTATATAATATTATACTATATAATAAATATATACATATTTGGTACACTGAAACTCTTATCACAAAGTATTGATTAGTAGATATTGCTTCAGTCTAATTCATTTGATCGCAGACCACACACATATACTATGGGTGTAAATTAATGATACTCAGACCTCAGTGGTTCAGGAGCCAAATTAGCGATCAACATTACCGAAAAGAGCCACAGTTGTGCGAATTCATTGTTTCATTTACTATAGTACTATATATTCATATATATTCATATTTAAACAGTATGATGGGAAATGTGTATGTGTGTGTGGATATATATATAAAAAATTCTCACAGCAAAATGACTGACCAAGTATTATTATTTTATCAACTGCAATTGATTAATAACATAGAAAAAACATCCTAGTTGGTTAATAACTTAGATTGGTTAATAATTAAATCACACAGTGTTTTAATATCATGTGATGCAAAGAGCCACACATTAAAGAGCCACTTGCAGCTCGCGAGCCTCAGTCTGACTATCACTGCTGTAATTCATCCAGTGCAAATCAGCATAGCGCCTCTGATGTTAGCTTTAAGCATGGGCGTAACCTCATTTCCATCGATGAAACTGTTCTCTCAGGCTTAAAGTTAACCTTGTATGTAGTATGAGGGACAATCTTCACTCATTGAAATATTTTGCTTTCCACAATCAACTCTCTGTACAACTTGTTATGAGTGATGTACCTGAATACTTGGATGCTAATATCTAAACTGTATTGTTAAATTTATTCACCTAAATTTGGGTTATTGCAGATTATGTACTATATGTATCTTATGACTTTTAAAACAAACTTTGTATTTGTGGATAATCTAAGCACTGTACCCAGAAGTACAGATAGTCTTTTCTTAACCTGAGTATTATATATTTTTTTAACATTAGCTGTAACAATATTTGATGGATTAGAATCCAGTTGAAGATCTGACCTTGTATATCCAAGCAATTCTCCAATTCCATCTGTTGAATCCCTTACTGTAATTAGTTTCTAACTGATGATGTGGAGTTGCTAAGATGTTTTTGTTGTATTCTTTGCAACTTATATTTTGTATATTTTATTTAATAAGAAGCCATGTTTTCTTTTACATTATTACTTAATTCCAACATCCTGATAACACAAAACACAATAATATAATTCTATATGAGAGTAATAACAACAGACGTAAAACCCTGTTATTACCCCCTTTGGTTAAATATCTGATTAAACAAGCTTAAAACTATAGCTGTTATGCAACTACAATGGTACATATTTGTGATGGTACAGATCTATATGACTGCAAATTAGCTCAATGAACTTGACATAGCCAAGGTTTTTGACTTTACAAGGTACACAGAAAACTGCTACTTGCACATATTTTAGCAAACTGATAATGGGAGAAGATTTAAAACATGGTGTAGACCGTTGATATTAATACATTCAGCTTCTTCAAAACACTATGTGAAAACTTCCTAAAGGAAAAGTATAACTTAATGGCAAGAGTTTACATTTTCTATTTCTGAACTATCTCTTGGACAGAAAAGTAAACTGCCACCCATAAGAGCAAAGTCTCTGCTCTCTGAGGGAGTTTACACAGCTATTCACCACTAACATGAGAAATGAGGTGATGCCATTAGAAAAAGTAATAAAAATATGTTATCACCATCTACCCTAAAGAACACAGAAATTTGTCAAAATCTTTCATTTTACCCATGCAAGGACTGAGAAATACTCTAGCTGCTAGAGTTAAAATTGAAGTCCCATTTCCCTTATAAATCATGTTTTTACAGAGCTTTTAACTGGGCTAAACAATTTTGCTTCAGGCTGGAGTCTGGCGTACAAGAAATCAGTCCAAGAATGTTTAGTGTTTGCTTTGCTTTACAAAATGTTGTTTATTTAAAAAAATCTGTTCAACTATTTTTAACTATGTAAGTGTGCTCCTACAATCCTAAAAATAGCTGCTGCTACTTTTTTCAGTTGTAACCTTGCAGGCTCCATACTCCATGCTGCCTTTGAATATCTATCTATCCATCCATCCCTGAGCTGTTTACTGAATGAGCACGAACACTGCTTTTTTTTTTCAATGAAAAATGTCATAAGGATTTTTAATATGTGAACTTGGTGCACATGCTTGGCATCCAGACTGAAATGAGAAACCGTAACGGCTACCATCTCTCAGGGTAATAATCCATGCAATAAGAAGGGTTTACACAGCAGACCATGATGTCCCGTTCACTGTATTATGGACCATTAACTCAAAATGTACTCTTTAAAAGGTGTCAAAATACAGGTTTATACAACAGACCAAAACTACTGTTGTTTATCGAATTAAATAATAGGTGCAGTACAAGTATATTAAAATTCATACACAGCAGCAACTAGTATTATTTGTAGATGTCCAAGTATACATTTGTATAATATCCATTTGTATAATATCCAGTAACTTTCCATGACAGCTTCCCTTGCCCTCCACCCATTTCTTTTTTACTTTCATGAAAAGATATACAATACACTGAAATAACAATAAAGTTGTGACAAAAAAATCCCAAGGTATTTTCTATATGTATATATATTCTATTCCAACCTGAGGCAGATGAAGGTGTTTACTTCAGGATCATTTACCTTAATCAATTAAATAACCAAAATGTAAAATGCAGCAGAAGGTTGGGGTGGGACGTTTTGAATGTACTTGGAGAGGTTGAGGAGGGGAATACGATTAGTTTTTATCAGTTTTAAAGATATGGAGTTTTGCTGTTAGTTTTCATTGTCTTGGCTAAAGAGTTAACTCCTGTTTTGTAACAGCACTAAATGGACTCTCTGTTTGCCATCTCTTGTTTCTCTCCCCCTTAGGTATCTGTGCTAGATACTTAACAAGGTAGGTTCTGCTTAATGGGAACCAGTTGCGAGTTTTGCCCTCTGTCCCTCGCAATGGTGACCCCAGACCGCTCACTGATTTCTCTAAAAAGTGGCTGGAGCATCCAGCCACCTCGAGCGGAGCCCTCGCTTCCAGCGCCCCCTACCGGTAACAGACCGCTATGGCAAAGAGTAAAGTCAGGCTCCCCACTCCAGAAACAAAATCACCAACACAACCTGGAGCAGGTAAAGCAAAGGGCAACAGTGGACACTCACAGAAAACACATTAGCAGGAGCTGCCTCACACCTCAGCAAAGAGCCCTGTTTGCACTGGAACAGAGTATGTGCTCAGAACATGGATCTATGGGGGAGAGGGAAATCCGGAGCGCTACTGGGCATTGATGCAACATCCACCGACAGTTTTTCTGCCACGCTCCCCCTACTAGCCCCCTCTGGAGGCCCTACAGCACCCCTTTCCTCTGATCAGCACACAGTGCTCCCTTCACCCTATATGCTGGATCGAGACTTTCCACGAATAGAAATACAACAGGAAGGAGGGTGGGTTAGAGGTTCCCTGCGTTTAGGTGCTGAGCAAATTGCAGGTGCACCCGGTGACCCAATCGTCCCCCCAAATAAGAAACTCCCATCCCTTCCTACCTCCAGGACAGCTGCAGCCTATACCACACCACAGTGAAAACATCGCACCCCTTAAAAACAGCCCCTCATTGTGCTTGGTCACTTAGTCAAACCAAGTTTGATACACAGCTGCTGTGCAATCAAGTCTGTCCCCACCAGCCCCTTCCCTGGCTCTTCAAATGGCAGAAACTGGTGTCCTGCAGAGGGGAGAACAACTCGAGAGAACTGGGGTGGCTGGGTAAGGGGGCTGGGGAGGTGAGTTTTAGCTTTAATGATGTTTAAGTTGCCAGCCCACCACAGTGATGTTCAGATCCCGCACGGGGGAGGGAAGCCAAGTCACTGAAATGTTTAGTGTTCATCTCTCCCATCTCCCCCACCCCAGCACACACAGAGCAACAGTATAATTGTGGGCCACCAGAAGTTGCAACTGGTTGAGCAGCTTTCAATGTTTACTCACCGCAGCAGAGAATTCATAACCTGAGGCTGCTTCTCGGAATCGGCTCGGATCAGAGCGAGCCGACAGACCCCAAACTAAAGCACAACAAATCCCAGCACGCAGCAGAGGCAGAGTGAGGAGCGGCTCCCCAGGTGATGCGCCAGCCCGGCCCCCACTCGCCCGGGCTCAGCTAGCGCTTCAGGGCTCAGGGGGGCTCCAGGTCCGTCCGGGCGCCCCCGGGAGGGGATGGCAAGAGCCAGATGCACACCGCTGGGTCAGGCAGGGGAGAGGCGGCCCTCCGCCGGGCAGTCCCTGGGAGGAGGGTGGTGAATACGCAGGGGGCAGTTGCTTATAAATCCAGAGCCGGGGGGCAGCATGTAAAGCGAGGAGAGGAATCCCCGAGGAGGCGCCTGGTGATCCCGCAGGAGGCGAAGGAGACCCGGACACCGGTCGCTGCTCTCCCCTAGCTCGGCGGCAGCAGCAGCCGCCCTGCCTGTGTCCCGGGCTTCCCGGCGGCTTCGCAGCCCGAGGGCGAGTGGGGAGCTGTGCGAGAGCGCCCCGGCCACGGGGAGTCCGGGCGAGCGGGCAGCAGGAGAGCCGTGTGCCTGTGCGAGCGTCTCTCGCCGACTCCCCCTGCAGGCCTGGCTGGGAGCAGGACTCGTCTCTGCGCGGAGCCTCCCTCCCCCGCGTGCACACGCCGCCTCTCGGGGCCAGGCAGGGAGTGAAACCAGAGCCCCGGCCGCCCGCTTCTCTCCCGCCCCCGAGCCCCCGGCGGCGCACTCCCCGCCCTGCCCCAGCCCGTCCCGTGCCAGCCGCGCGCAGCCAGCCCCGCTCACACCGATCCCCTGCAGGCGGTGGTAGAGCGCGCACCCCTCGCTCTGCCCTTCCCCCCGCCTTCCCCAAACCCCGCGTGTGACAGGTCGCGAACCTCCCGGAGCCCGAGCTGGGCCTCCGCCCCTTATGGGCAGCGACGTGCTGTTGAAAGGCTATTTTTAGGCCTCGGGCTAGTGCACTATAAACGTCCCAGGGAGAGTGAGTGGGACAGTGAGACGTGGCACTGACTCTCCTGCGGGATAGACTCGCAAGCATCCTACTGCTCAGGTACGTGTGCGCTAGCGGGGTCTGCACTCTTGTTACGGTTTCGGTGCATGCCCGTTTTGTTACATGTATAAAACTAACACGGCGTGGTGTTTTTCTCTTACTCCGCATATTTTCTTGTTTTAACGTAAGACCATCGAAGTTCACTCATTGCTTTTCCAGAAGCGTTGGCATGTTTCTATGAACCACAGTACAGAGTAAACCACTTCTCCCGTCTGCAAGACTGCCTCCGTTTAAAAGTGTAAAATGTTATTAAAGTTTCATATATAAAACAAAAGCATGGAACGGATCCAGCGAACAAGAGCCCTAAACTGTTAGACTCAATTAAAACAACTGTAATCAAAAGCTGCTTGCAATCCAAAATGGTAGGAATTCAAATCGCCTGAAACTCCACAAGTTGAAACACCACTTTGGCTTACTTATATAAGAAATTCACTCACGGGGAAGATTAATGAATATGAAAGTTCAGGTTCATCAGAAATAATGTAAGTTCCCAAGCTTCAGCATTTTTACTGGCTGCTTATTGATATGGAACCCAATATAAAGGTAAAAATGTTAAGGGCCAAACTCAGATTTCAGTTACATCTCTATAACAGGACAGTTTCCTTTAACTACAAGAACGTATGATTTCAGAGGCATCAGCTAAGGTATTTCATACGGTGTAGCATTTTCTTCATAATTCCTTAATCTCAGACAATTATATATTTAATATAAAAAAATCATCAAATTTTAAACTTGTCACGGAAACACTCACCCAATCAATGTCATTTTTAAAAAATAAAGTTTAATAATTTGGATTAAATTAAATTATAGATATATAAATATCCTGTATTCTATTCTGGTGCTTTCTGTAGATCTTCACCTCTTACAACAGCTTTAATTTTTAAACGCTGGAATATAGACTATTTTTTCTGAATCTTTAAAAACAAAATCACAGGTATATTAGTACATGCACATAAAAATACCAATGAAAATACCAATAAGATTGTTAATACCTAGAGTTATATTGAGTTCCCAGAGCAGGGGTTTTCAACCTTTTTCTTTCGGAGCCACCCCATCCCCATGCTATAAAAACTCCAGGGGCCATGGGGGCGGGGGGGGGGGGGCATGGGACAGTGGAGCTCGGGACAGTTCCACATGGTGGGGTCTGGGGAGGGAGTGCAACCTCCACCCCCTGACCCACCTCAGCAGGCCACCCAGCCTGTCTGGGTTGGGGGGAGGGGGCAACCAAAAATTATAACTCAAAAGGTGGGGGGCTCAGCTCAAATTGTTTGAAAAATTGCTCAGGGTGCAAGCAGGAGGTAGCTAGTGGGGCAGGGTAGCTGGGACTGTGTGCAGGCAAAGGGTGTAGCTCAGGGTGCAGGGTGGGGGTAGCTAAGGGCTGTGTGCCAGAATTGCCCCCCCTTGCTGTCGCTGCTCCCTGAGGGCTCTGCTGGAGCCAAGTCAGGTCCCCCCACTGGCTGTATGAGCAGTCAAAGGGGCTGGGAGCTGCCGAGCAGTTGCAACCCCAGGCACCAGCAGGAGATGGGGAAACACTGCAGCTGCCTACTCCATGGCACCAGTCAGAGCAGCACCTGCCCTGCACTGCCGGGCTCCAACTTCCCACCTCCGACCTGGCCAGGGGCGGGGCCTGGGGGGTCTACAGGAAAGTTCATCAGATGGGGATAAGTTTCTTCCATGGTCCATTGTGTTCACTGATGGGTCATTGACTTGAATACTCCATTCATAATGACTTCAGATACAAAAATGATACATGCATATAAACAGGATAATCATATTCAGCAAACCGTAACTTTTTCATTGACACCTTACATGACAGACTTTGTAAATGGTTTGTTGCAATTATATAACAGTGGTAGCAACAATGATCTACATGGTCATATTTTAGGTTGCAGACTAAAATGGATGAACAAGTATCTCAAACAGGTTATTAAGAAAAAGTAGAAAGCCTACAAAGAATAGAAGAAGGGGTGGATCAGCAAGGAAGGCTACCTCTTGGGGAAAAGTGTAGGGGGAAAGTGAGAACTGCCAAAAGCTAAGCAGAGTTGGGTCTTGCAATGGAAACTAAAACCAATAGTAAAAGGTTCTTTAGCCAGATAAATAAAAAGAAAACAAGGAAAGAAAAAGTGGGACACCTAACCACTGAGGATGGTTGGAGGAGGGTGGGGATTAAAGATAAGGGTAGCTAATGTGAAGGAAGACATGGAAATAGAAAATATCACATCCAAGGTGGAAGCCTGTAACAGGGCGCTCTCACCTCATGCGTGCGCCCCCCCTCTTGACAGAGTGCATATGCCTTGCACTCACTCTCTCTCTCCCTGTGGTGTGCCTTTGGTGACTCAGCCCTCCGGCCGAGTCACACACACTCTGTGTGATGAAAGCAAAGCAAAACCCCTTCCAAGTCCAACAGGAGTCTTTGGCAGTGCCCCTGTAATGTCTCCCACAAGTTGTCCCCGCTCCGAGATAGAGCAGTGCCCCAAGGCTCCCTCCCTAGTGACAGTATTCACCCTCTTAGGGCCTTTCCAGCCACAACTCTCCAGCTGGGCCACTGCAGTTCAGTTCCCCCGTCTGGAGGTGCCTCAATGTCAAGGCCACTTCCCCCAGTGGCTAATGGGGTGGGGGGGGCAGGCCTGCCCACTACTCCGGGTCCCAGCCCAGGGACCTTGTAGATAGCAGCCATCTGCTGTGTCCCTTTAACTATATCACATGGCTTCTCTAATTCCCTGGGCCACTTCACCCTTACTTCAGGGCCTTGTCCTAATGGAGTCCCAGCAACCAGGTCAGGGCTCCTTCTCGCTCTCCCTGGCTTCTGGCAGCACTGCCTTGTAGGGGGTTCTGCAGCTCCCTCAGGCAGCCACCCTCCTTCAACCCTAGCAAGGAACTGCTGTCAGTCTAGCCCTGCAGCTCTTCTTATACTAGCCTGCAGGGCTGTAATTGGTTGTTTCCCACACAGCTGATCTAGGCAGCTTGGAGGACCTCTCTACTGCCCTTTTCTGGGGTGGAGTGTGGCAGGCCCACAAAGCTTCCAGCAGGGGGCCTCAGGGCCTAGTCCACCCCATTACAAAGCCAAACTAAGGAAGCTTAATGGGACCAGGGAAGGGAGGGCGGGGCAGATAATTTCCATCCAAGAATATTAACGGAACTGGCACATGAAATTCCAAAACCAATAGCAAGAACTTTTAATGAATTCGTAAACTCAGGGGTCATTGCAAACATAGTACCACTATTTAAAAAAAGGGGGGAAATGATTCAAGAAACTACAGGTCTGTTAGTTTGACCTCAATTGTATGCAAAATCATTTGGAAGAGAGGATATAAAGAGTGACGGATATAAAGGTTAATGGTAATTCAGATAAAATACAACATGGTTTTACAAATGATAGATCGTACCAGACCAATCCGATCTCTTTCTTTGAAAAGATAACCAATTTGGTAGATAGAGGAAATGTAGTAGATCTTTTCTACCTGGCTTTCAGTATACAGGGGCGGCTCCAGGCACCAGTACAGCAAGCGTGTGCCTGGGGCGGCAAGACGCGGCGGGTGGCCTGCTGGTCGCTGTGAGGGCGGCAGTAAGGCGGCTTTTGGCGGCGTGCCTGCGGTAGGTCCGTCGGTCCCACAGTTTCGGCGGCAATTCGGCGGCGGGTACACCGAAGCCGCGGGACCAGCAGATCACCCGCAGAAACACCGCCGAATCCACGTGACTGCAGACCGCCCTCAGGCATGCCGCCAAAGGCCGCCTGACTGCCGTGCTTGGGGCAGCAAAAAACATAGAGCCGCCCCTGTCAGTATAGCATTTGATACAGTTCCACATGGAAAATTATTAGTTAAATTGAAGAAGATGGGGATTAATACAAGAATCGAAAGGTGGGTAAGGAATGGTCATGCTGAAAGTGAACTGTCAGGCTGGAGGGAGGTTACTAGTGGAGTTCCTCAAGGATTGGTGTAGAACCAATCTTATTTAACATTTTCATTAATGACCTTGGCACCAAAAGTGGGAGTATGCTAATAAAATTTGCAGATGACACAAAGTTGCCAATACAGAGGAGGACCAGAAAATCATACAAAATTTGGACGACCTTGAAAACAGGAGTAATAGAAATGGGATGAAATTGAATAATACCAAGTGCAAGGTCATGCATTTAGGGACTTACAAGAATTTTTGCTATAAGCTGGGGACGCATCAGTTTGAAGTGACAGTGGAGGAGAAAGACCCGGGTATATTGGTCAATCACAGTATGACTATGAGTCACCAATGGTTGTGAAAAAGGCTAATACAATCCTTGAATGCATCAGGTGGGGTATTTCCAGTAGAGATAGGGAAGTGTTTATTAGCATTATACAAGGCACTAGTGAGACCTCATCTGGAATACTGTGTGCAGTTTGGGTCTCCCATGTTTAAGAAGGATGAATTCAAACTGGAACAGGTTCGGAGAAGTGATACTAGGATGATCCAAGGAATGGAAAACCTACTTTATGAGAGGA